GAAGGTCAGGCTATTAGAGGTGGAGGTCAGTCCATTAGAGGTAGAGGTCAGGCCGTTAGAGGTGGAGGCCAGCCAGTTAGAGGCCGTTCCAGAGATGCAGTTCCGAGTGGTGGGACCCAGCCCCGATTTTATGCTCAGCACATACCAGTACATGGGGTCGCTTGTACTAATACTACACTCTGCACTTCTTGTGCAAATTTTGGAATTGGTCCCAATGGCATACCATAGACTTGCTCGGATTTCAACTATTCGGAGGAGACTTGAGGTATAACTGCATGGCGTCCGCAGTTCTGAAGTCCCCGTCTATTTTACTTTAGCTGTGTGTTTATTTTCAGACAACTTATTTTTATTCAGACCTTTATTTGTATTATTCTAGAAGCTCGTGCACTTGTGACACCAATTCTGGGATGGTATTTAGACACCGTTGTTTTTATGGGTTGTTCACTGTATTTCAAACGTTGCTTTCGCATTTGTTTCTTTGATTATAAATAATTTAAAGATTGTTTAAAAATTGGTTAATATTATTCTAACGTTGGCTTGCCTAGCAAGTGAAATGTTAGGCGCCATCACTGTCCGAAGGTGGGAATTTTGGGTCGTGACAAGACCAATTCAACAATTATCGAGAAGGAGAATTTCATTTCACAAGGCTTAATATGGTATACAAATTCTTATTATACCTATAAAAATAAACATATATAACTGTATCTTATATTCGTATTATGTTAGCACATGCATAAATAATCGTCTTTCTTTTATGTTTTTGACATTTTTAATTAAACTGAGAGATCAGTAAAGGAGTAGTGCCTATAAAAATAGTAAAAATTGAACTCGGACCTATTATTTGGCGTTGTTCTCTACTTTTGACTTCACTTATACCAAAACAGATGATTTTGTTTACTAAGGTTATAGTAAATGAATGTGCACTTTAAACCAAAGGGCTATCCACATAAGATAATCAACATCATATTTCTAACCAACAAACCCCTTACACAGTTCTGTCTTTCTATATTGATTAACAGTGAAAATAGCACTAAACCTGCTTCATTACGTTGTCTCTAAATGTATGGAATCTTTTCTAATATACAACTTAATCCATTAAGTAAATTGGAATATATTACTGGACATCTCATTTGCTATCAGCACTATTTTCTTCGTTAATTAAATCTAAATCGAATTAATAATTACCGTTAATTTATTAAGAAGTTTGACTGAGTTGTTCGTGCTGTCCATTTTGTACAGAATATTTTAAGTATAATAATAGAATATATTGTGTGGTAATCAGACTTGTCCATGTTTTCCACTATTGCGGAGCAACCGTTAGATGTGAAGACTGCACGTCAGTGATCAAAACAATAACAGGACAAATAGTTAGAACTGAGGCAAGAGGAATGACGAGTGAGTGCAAAAGGAATTATTTGAGATAACCAAGGAAATGTAAGAGCTATGAACACCTAAGCAAGGAGCATAACCAGAAGATCTTACCATTTCAATTTGTGCAGTCAATTTTACTGTAGAATCTGTTGTTATTTTTTTTAACCTGTTTTCCATCAGTACCAATTGCATCATCCTAAAAGAATATAATGAACAATAAAAAGAATCAACAAATTGAGATGTAAAAAGATAGACAATGTCATTATTTTAACTAAACTACCATCAGTATGTTTTGCCTTAGTTGAGGAGAGTAAGATGTGTTGTTGCTTCTTCTGCCTGGATGCTCTCCTCATCTTTATACCTGTTGTTATTTTTACTTCTTGTTTTCTCAAAAATTAGATTAGTGTAATGAACAAATTTAGCAGCAAACTAAGACAGAGTAGAAAGAGTGTCTAGTAAATTTTTGAGAGAATTCAAGTCTGGCTCATAGTATTATGCATAATAAATTGTCATAAGTAACATCAAAGAGGTAAGTAGAAATTCATTAGCTAAGAGTAAGAACCATATCAAACATACCCAACCCAGTCAAAATACGGAAGTTTGGGTGTTCGATCCTGTCCTTTCCTCAATCAATATAGCGAACCATCGCTAGGTGAGGCTGTTCCTGAAGTTTCAGCTGCCAGAGAAGATAATTTTCAGCTGGGAATTTTACCTTGGATGAAGCTCTGACTTTTGAGGGAAGAGTTGCTTAGAACGTGGGGTAAGAGGAAACAAATTAAAACGTCTATGGACTTTTATTGTGAAAGGTAAAATAAAACGGCTATTGGGCATAGTGTTTTGGGCTGTTTTGTAGCATTTGTTATTTTGAGTAGTGGGCTAATAAATTATTATTAGAAATAAATGGAGTGAAGGAGTGAAATAACAGAAAAAATTCAAAAAAATCAGAAAAAAGATAAATATGAAAGCTGGGGGATGCCACATCAGCCTGGCCAATTTCCAAATATATATATATATATATATCAGAAAAAAGATAAATATGAAAGCTGGGGGATGCCACATCAGCCTGGCCAATTTCCAAATATATATATATATATATATATATATATTGTGTGTGTACTCATGTGAACTCCGTTCTTTATTCCAACATTCAATGGCCCCAATATGCACAACTATTAAATTATTTTTTATGTTTTTGCATAGCTGTTGTAATTGCAGTCCTTTTTTATATAGTATGTCTAATAAACTTTCAATTTTTTTTGTTTATGCAGATCCTTTGTACAAGGCAGATTATTTTACCATTAAAATAACACATGGTGGTTTAATGAAACTCAAGCCTACAAGGCATTATGTTGGGGGTAGAATGAACTTTATTGACTGTCAATGGGGCTGAACTAAAGTTGTCGATATTCAAATCTATGGCTGAATTATGCGGTTATGGGGTCGGGTAGTTGGTGCGGCCACACGCAAGTATACGCGGTCGTCAAGTAATAAAGTGACTAAAAGTCGGATGTCGAACCCACG